GGAGGATTTGAATTTATAGTCCATTTTTGTTGTCCGTGCACGGCAATTTCAGAACCAAAAAGAAGGCCTCATTGACCTACATTGTCTTTCTTATACAGGCTGATGATTTATATATATTAATAAGAAATGAATGCATTCGTTGTAAAACTTCAACCTCGGGGTTGGAATTGCAGACAAAAATGTTATTATCATTATTTTAACCTTTGACAGGATTTTTTTAATTTATAAAAAATTAAATAGAACACATTTTATAAAACGTAAGTGTGAATTTTGCTTTCAAAAAAAAAAAAAAAACAAAAAAAAAACAAAAAAAAAAATAACGAAATAGATTTTAAAGCGGTGGGCATTTTATTCATGACTTAAGAAGCGAATCAATCATCATCTCAACTTTATCATTTTATTTTTCCCAGTTAATAAATCTGTGACTGTGTTGGCTTATGAGCTTAATGTATTCTGGAATAAATCTGGCCATAAAACTGGAGTCTTAACTTTGATAGTCTCGAGCAAGTCACTCTCAGTTTCATTGCGCCGAGCCATGGCATTTTTAACAAGAGATAGTGACTGTAAAGTCCCCGTCACTGAACCCAAACCCGTACACAGCTATTATGTATGTCCCAATGTCTAGCTCACCTTGAGGGATGTGGATTAGAGAGGTGTGGCCGCACCCGGTACGGTCGTCATTGAGGAACAAACTGTAAGCGTCGTGAATGATGCATGTCTCATTCGCAACGGTTTCAACATGAACATACGCAGCACAGTCAAAAACAGCCAGTAGTGTGTCGTAGTCGGTGGAATTGCAAGTGGATACAATGAGATCCTCACTGCCAGGGTAATTGATGGAGTATCGCAGCGTTGCCAGATAAGGTCCCTTGTATTCATGTCTGCCGCAAAACGAGTAGTTTGTGCCATCACACACGACTTCCTGAATGTACGCTGGAAGCGAAAACATACTGTTTAATTTACTTTCAAAAAGGTCGCAAAATTAACGGATATGCTGCAAAAAAGAAGGAAAGCACAAAATAAGCTGCATCCCTTTTTCATGTCAAGCTGCAGAATGTTACATCATTTTGATCTGTTTGTTTTTATACACTTTATCTGAACTAATTAAAGATGCACCCGAGGATATGGCCATTATATACGTAAGGCTCTTTATGCGACCTATTAATTGCGGCCTTTACTGTTATAATTACTGTAGCATGGGAAAACATGCATTTCCATACCTTATAACTGAAATGCTAACTAATGGAATAAAATAAAAGCTTGTCAGATAGAAAATAACTGAGAGTTAAATGTACTTCTCGCTTATTGCAATACCATACTCACGGCACTCATCTTCAAGTCCAGCTGAAAAATTAAAAAGATGAGATACTTTGAAAATGAATGTGAATTATAATTCACTGCTGTAACGCTTTCTTTAAAGCTGACAAAACCAGTGTGATTTCTATACATTGTACCCTAAGTTCTAGATTCCGGTATTGCCAGCTCGATCTTGATTTCATATATAACCCATAGCAGCAATACTAGTAAAAATGACTCCAAGGTATATTTAATATTTACAAGCTAATTTGTACGTTGCTCTGACACTCAAGGTAATAGAAACTACTGTAGAACATAATATACTAAGTTTGATGTTATACTTACGACGTCGACATTCCGGTGCCACTGAAGAAAAAATAAAACAAAGATATATTTGCAAAATATACAGCCACTACAACATTGGTCAAAAAGGTTGTCCCACCCCCGGTTTCATGTGCTTTTATTTATACATGATCACACCACAAGAGTTAATTGCTATGAATGGTGATTTTCTTTCCAGATACCATAACTGACATGATTATTGGAACAGAAAAACTAGCAGTTAAGATATCCATATTTAATACCATTTATTCACATTTATTAGATGTACCCCTTCAAGTCCGATGTTCCACTGTGATTTTCACGGGGGTAAAGAAATGCCCATTAAATTGAGATGACACCACCAAAAGTCACCAAATTTACACACATTTAGCATTAGGGTGTGCTCGTTAAAAGCCACGTGTCTATTAGCGTGTGTGTCTACCGTGCACTGTAATTATCTCCTGTAGACGGCGCCACTGCCTTCATCAAGGGTTAAAATTTTGTTTTGAGGGATTTTGCCTCATGTTTCCTAAAAAGCTTGGCAGAATTGGTCCAGACTAGTTGGGGTTTGGTTCTCCTCTGGATTGCACGCTTGAATTCATGCCACTGGTGCTCAGTAGGTTTATTATCAGAATTTAAAGGTTTTTACAGTCTCAGAACATTGGGTTTCTGCAACTAATCACTCACCAAATGACAACTGTGTGCAAGTGTGCTGTCATGATGAAGCCTGGATCACCTCCGAAGTTCCCTCTTGCAGATGGGATGAGGTATCAGTTGAGGATATTAGGTTCAGTGACCCCAGAACTATGAGAACTTGGTCAACCATCTATAGGAACAAGTTCGTTTTGCTGAAGATCAAGGTATTTCTTGTATGCCTTTGAAGGTCAAATTTGGACCCGTAGACATGTTGCAGAATACGTTTTGGAAGGTTTTTGAAGGATGATATTGCCTGAGGTGTCAGGTCAGACCACATTTGGAGAGAATTCCAAGCCCATGGTTTAAGTGCATTGTTCTTTCTGGAAAAGAACGATTTTGGGGTAATTCACTGAAACGTTCTCAACAAAATATCTCACTCCATTTGCAAGAGTTGACTTCAGGGATACTGCTGGCGTCATCATGGAAATGCACTTGCACACAGTTCTCGTCTGCTAAGTGATTTGTTGCAGAAACCCAACGTTCAGAGGATAGAGCAATCACCTTTGGGCCATGTTTTTAACTTTACTAAACATGTGGCACGAATTGAAGTGTGTAATGCATAGGAAAACCGAACTACTAATAATCTGGACCAACTCCCTCAAGCTCTTTGGGAAGAATGGGACAATATCCCATAAAACAGAATTGTTACCCTTGTTGAAGGCAGGCCGCGCCACCTACATGAGGTAATTACAGTACGCAGTGAACACAAACGCTATTAGACAAGGAACCTTTAACGAGCACACCCTAATGCTAAATGTGTGTAAATTTGGTGACATTTGGTGGCGTTATTTCAATTTAAGAGACATTTCTATTACCTCTGTGAAAATCACAGTGAAACGTCGGATTTGAGGGGGTACATGTAATAAATGTGAATAAATGGTATTAAATATTGATATCTTCACCGCTAGTTTGTATTTTCTGTATCACTAATCATGATATTTATGGTATCTGGAATAGAAATCACTATTTATAACAATCTACACTTGTGATGTGATCATTTATAAATAAAATCACATGATACTGAAGGTGGGACAACCTTTTTGACCAATGTTGTATATATCATATATGACAAGAACGGTTATGTACATTAAATGTCTTAGATACCCGAAGTGCTGGGTGATTTTCTAAGAAATGTAACACTTGGTTCTGTAATGAATGAATGAATGAATGAATGAATGAATTTTACAGAACAGCATGCCAGATGAACCATGGAATTGGGATTTCTATCATCAGAACTGCAGAAAAAAACATTCTATGATTATTATCGATTAGGTGAATAAAATTATTTAACCCGTGGGTAACAACCAGAACAGTGGAAAATATTTCATGTTGATTTACCAAAGAAAAAGAGAGAAATAAGCGCTAACTTAACTTTCACAAAGCAATACACAGACCTGAACTTTTAAAGGATAGATGCAGACAAGTAAGCTTCTGTGTTTAGGTTAAAGTGTGTTTGGATTAAACGGTATAAAACTCATCTTTTTACATGTTTATCATTGTGCACATTACAGCATTCTTTGCCGTTCTCATCTGGAACACAAGTTTTGGGATCCTCAGCAGACGGGTCCAACACGTATCCCTCCTCACATTTACGGGACCAAGGCTTAGGACAAGGTAAAATACCTTGACTATATATATAAGGCTTTGGGGGTTTATAGATTTATCATCACACTCAAGAGATGCGCATTGGTTTGGTCATGTCCATCCGAATGATTCTCATAGACCTTTCGGGAAATTTCGGCGGGTCAAAACTCGCTCGATAAAAAAGTAGCCCTCTCACTTAGGAGCCGCAAATTAAAAATGTAATTAATGTTGGGGTATTCCGATGTTCATGCTAGAAAGGTCAAGGTTCTACAAACATCCCCTTGCCTAGTTATTATTTTCTACTTCAGTGGCAGATATAGAGGGGTGTCAGGGGGTATTAACCCCACCCCTTCGGTTTCTGAAAATATATCACACTAATATTAGGGGTGGGCAATTGACAAAAAAATTTTAAAACAGGTTGATTCTATGCCCATTTTTGCTGCTGAACACAAATCTGACACTATTTTTTTACCAAAGCTTAAGATTGATATTGGTATCTGCTATTTGTTTGTGAAAAAAGGCGAGAAATGGCTTTTTGGCCATATTTAAAGTACATGAAAATGATGTGTAATATGTATTTCTATATGTTTTTGGGGTTGTTGAGTTCAAATATTAGCATATTCAAGACATTGGCAATATTGGTAGGGTGACATCTGTAAAAATATGTTATTTAAAACAAACATAGATACAATACACACTTCGAGTCTAAGGTAAGTAGTAAATAATGCACTGTCCACGAGCCCGATATCCACGATAGCAAGCCGAGCGTCAGCGAGGCATGCTATCGTGGATATCGGGCGAGGGGGTAACAGTGCATTATTTGTCATACATACTAAGGGAAATCGTGCATGTTCCTCCCCCAAACCCCCTAACTTTGAATAGAACACGCTGATATCACCGCGCATGGGGTGATATCAAAGAATGGACTTTTCCCGCGCTTACGCCGATAGTTTCTGTCTAATTGTGGTCACCGTCCAATTATTTTCATTTGTGTGAATGGTTTGTGGTTGCGTGTGCTTTGGCAGAGATATGGGTCAGTGGTTTTCTGTGAGAAGTTGGCTGCCCATCTCCCGCACGTGGCAGTTTCCTGCCCATCTCCCGCACGTGGCAGTCACTCTCATTCATTTTTCGGCAAAGCTGACAGCGACATTGCAGAAATGCTGTTTTCTGATGTATCGGACGACGAACTCGTGAGCGCAAGTCAAACGGCAGAGAAATCTCATTATGAAACTGAGCAACAATTTTCTGACATTTCGGACGACGAACTTATAAGCGCAAGTCAAAATGCAGAAATGTGTTATTTAGACGCGAAGCAGCAGCAGGAGCAGCAGGTTTTCTCGGCTGAGATGAAGGTGCGTATAACAAAAATACACATTTTTCATTTATGTTTATCTTTTCCATATGTATTTCCACTACATAATTATACGACAAAATGCATTTGTACCTTGACATTTGAACGGATGAGATTCATTGCTTTCGAAAAACGTGAAAATTGACATATTTGACAAAATGCGTTTTCTTATGATATTATCCTGTTTTTAGGAGGGGAATGGCAGTAAAAGGTTCGCTATCCCAGTAACAGATGAGGAAATGGAGTTGCGCTCAAAAGCAAGCTTACCTAAGAACACGTTGCGTCGTAACATGTGGGCACTTAATACATGGAATAAGTGGGCAGTGGCGCGAAACAACACACGGTTGCACGGTTATCAAGGAAACGACATTGCCATTAATAAATGGAATAAAAAAAAGAAACCACTGACAAATCTATCTGACGAGGAACTTCAGTACTGGATATCCAAATTTATACTGGAGGTGAGAAAAGAGAACGGTACGGAATATCCTCCAAGGACACTCCTGTCCCTTGTGATGGGACTGCAGAGTTACATTCGCACTGAGTCGAAGCGAGGGATTGATTTATTAAATTCTGATCAATTTGTGGGTCTCCGACAAGTATTAGATTCTGAGATGAAACGTCTTTCTCATACTGGCCTTGGATGTAACACCAAAAAGGCCCAAGCAATTTCTTTGGAGGATGAAAGCAAGCTGTGGTCATCGAAAGCGCTGGGCGACTATAATCCCAAAGTACTCGTGCGTACACTGCACTATTTGAATGGCAAAAATTTCGGATTACGAGGTGGACAGGAACATCGACGACTGCGATATAAATCACCTCAAATTACGCTCCACGAACCTGAAGGTGAAATTGCTTATTTGAAATATTCAGAGGACGTCTCTAAAACGTGTCAAGGTGGCCTAAAACATCGCAAATTAGTACCAAAGCAAGTGACCCATTTTGCTAACGCAGACTGCCCGGAGCGATGCCATGTAAGGATTTACAAGAAATATATGGAATTATCCCCCAAAGATAACAGAGACGATTCTTTTTACCTCCAGCCTTTGCAGAAATGGCGGGAAAACGTATGGTTTAGTCGACAGCCGATTGGTGTGAATACCCTGTCAAACTTCACCCGAGAAACGTGTGAAAAGGCTGGCCTGAAAGGATTCTACACCAACCACTCTCTGCGGGCAACTACTGCGACGCGTCTCTTTCGGAGAGGTGTCGATGAGCAGCTAATTATGACCAAAACAGGGCATCGTTCAGTCGAAGGTAAATATCATCAATACCATACATAGACAGCAAAATTTAAGTGCGTGTAACTGTTTTGTATTAATCTAAAATTTCACAATAATTTAGATTAATTCTTAATTGTCTCTCAACTGCTGTAGGCCTAGACTCCAGGCAAATTCATTTTGCCACGAAGATCCCCACTGATGTCTTTTTAAGTATTATTTTATTTTATAGTACTAATGAGTTTATGCACAGATTTTACAACATACACTGTGGTTACAATCAATTGTGATGTTATTTTCATTTACTCATTTATTAGGGAAAGGGGCTCATATTTTACCAGTATATTATCCTTTAGTATTATTTCGTTTCTTTCGGATATGTTTCTAGGCGTTCGTTCATATAAACGGCCGTCTGAACAACAGGAACAACACATCAGCAGAATCCTTGACGGGAGTGATGATGGTCCGACGCCGCCGAAAATACGCACTCAGACAGACGTCAGTGATGAAAGTGTAACACAAACAGATTCTTCTTTGAGTAGACTTATCGATTTAACAAATCAGCCGGTTGTATTTCAGAATTGCAATTTCCAATTTCATTAAAATATAAATTAAATGCCTGACGTTGTTTCCTTCTTGTTTTTCTGTTTTCAGTGACTATTCATGTAAAATTCGAGAAAAAAAGCGAGATATCGAGCTTTTTTTCGAGGATTTTACCGAGTCACCACGAGACACGCTATCATAAAGTGCGAGCAGCACTTTTTGATAGCGGGTCGAGTTAACAGCATTGTTTGTGTGAACTGAACCATGCGGTTGGTTGGACAGTAACAATGATATCAGTCCCTGCAATCCTTTTGTTTAGATATCAGCCCCGTGGTATGTATTAGGAAATAGCTTGTTCATAGCACATTGTACTTTCCCTGTATGTTGGTCACCATGAGAGTCAGAGAAATTGGTGTTATCAAACAATTCACTGGTACAAACAATACTGGAAATGTATATAGTCAAACACTTGATATACGGGGTGGGGAGGTGGGTGGGGGGTCTTGTCACGTTCAGCTATGATGCTCATTTGAACACGTTATAACACATTGGATTTTTTCAATTACAGTGAATTTTAATATTCCTTTTTTTTCAGAAGTAATATCAAAATAACTTCAGTCTCTCAAAGATGGGTCGCTCGTAGGTACATTCGCCCAGAAAGTATGCAACAACATTTATTAACTTGTGCGTTCAAGTTTTGCCAGTTGTTACTCGTTGGCAGTAAATCCAAAACTTCGAGCTCTAGAAATCAGCTGTCTCTGGCTTTGAACACCCATCATTTCCCGCCACCCCCTGTCTTTATTAACATCCGTAATAACCCGTAGCTCTCCAGATTTTACTAGTACACTCAGTGTTATCAACTGTGGCCTATGTTCTAGGGATGACTATACTTACCACACTCATATTGACAGTTGTTCCGGTATTTGAACAAGAACCTTCGCAGGACATTGTGGGAGTCTCCGATCCTTTGTCCAGACACTTGGGTTCACTGGTTGCTGGGGTGATTTGATCGAGGGACTTCTGCAACTGGCTGTCGGATGTTTCGTATTTCTCGTAAGTGCACACGTGACACTGGGTAGTCGGGGCTGTAAAAAGACAACCAAGGTTTCCGGTTTTAAATGGAAATCGCATTCAAATCGTTAGCTTTTAAATTTATAATAAGTCAATCAATTCAAGCTCTGCTGGCTTGACGACAATTTGTTCAGATAATCTAAATATGTTGAAATAAACGCGACCACGCTAGTGATTTTACCACCAACTGGAAAAAAAGGGACACCAACTCCAGTGTTGTGCTTGACATGCTCTACAAAATGCAGTAAACAAAAGTTCTCAATATTATTGTTGAAAAATACAATTTAAAACAAAATCATGCGGAAAAGTAAAAGTTAAAATCCTTATTTGTGAAGTATTTTTCATGGCCAAAAGTAGGTCAAAGGTCAATATCACGATCACAGTAAGATTGCAAGTATACAACGTCCTTTCAAGTTCAATAGTAATTTTGGGCATATCTCTTCTAGTTTAAGATGTACATGTATAAGGGATAGAAAAGTTGCAAAGTTCAGTTCATGGTGAAAAGTCGGTCAAAGGTCAATTTCGAGGTCACAGATTTTCAGTATACTACGTCCTATTCAAGTTCAATAGTAACCATGGGCGTATCCCTGCAAGTTTTGGGAATATAAGGGATAGAAAATTTGCAAAGATCATTTTATAGTGAAAGGTAGGCCAAAGGTCAATTTCAAGGTCACAGTTATATTGCCAGTATATGACTTGCTATTCAAGTTTAAAAGTAACTTTGGGCCTATCTCTGCCAGTTTTGGAGATATAAGGGATAGATAGCTGAAAACGTGCAGTTCACGATGAAAAGCGCACACGCTGCTGGTACTAATTATTCTAGCGCCCGGAGCCAAAGCCGGTAAGACGTCACATGTAATACTTGTGACGTCTTTTTAAAAATATTTTAAAATTCACACGCGCACATAAACTTCAATACCCATTTTCCATTCGTTTAACTTTGGCAATTATAGCAAGTGCATTCAAAAGCACACTAATGGTGAGGTTGTCGACGTTACCTTTGGGAAGTGCAGGTAGAGACGAAACATCCTGTGTACAGCTGTCGCTATTGCAAAAACACATCTTCCCAGAGACCTCCTGCCCCATGGTCAGACCGCCTCCCAGAACAGCCTGAAGATTCTGAGCGTCGTTCGAACTTATAGTTTTGCATCCTTCATTCACGCTCTTTGAGGGATTGCAACTTCGAATCACAACACCAATGCTCATGGAGTAGGAGTATTGCTGCAACCAAGACCAATGCTTATGCGCAGCGAACAAATAGAACTATCACAAATTCAAGAATTTGGTATTCGTTTAACTTACACATGGAATGCAAGAAAGGCTTTGCCCCTACGACATATACTAACCAACAAAACACTTACTATCTAAAAACTCACATCTCAAGGTATATCCAAGGTATTTCTGGTTAAAAACTTACCTCTATCTTGGTCGTTGTGTTGACTTCCGCAAACTCACAGGAACCGTCGCAGCTAATTGTCTTTGTGACAGAGGTGGGGTTCTTGGCGCACTCAGCGTCCATCGTACTTGCATACATGTTTTGGATAAGGCTCTGTACATCCGCACCACCACCACCTGTAGCGGTAATATACATACACTGTGTGCACTCCAGTGCCTCCCCTGTAAATAATAATAATAATAATAATAATAATAATAACAAAACTTTGAGAAGTTATGGTTTCTGTCACACACTCTTTGCATGGAATAGCTCCAGTATGTTATGAATTACTCTATCTAAAATGCTGAAATAGTTTGATGACTGGAAATAATTTTTAAAGTTCTCTGTGATAATTGCCGCAAATCTCTACTGTAGCTGGCTGTAGCATTGACCAATAAACAATTAATGCTCAAGTTGCAAAAGTGGACTGACACTCCTTGTGATCATCTAAGCCCAAATAAAGGTATGTCGACGTTTCCCTGTGAAATGTACAAGTTGTGGCGGTCTAAACGCTACGGGAACAGGCATATTGAAAACTAAACTATATACCTAAATATCTAAAACATCAAATCCAAGTGCATGGGTGAAATAAGAAATGATTCGTGTGAGGGAGAAACATACATTTTCTCTCGAGAAAAAAAAATCTATTTGGCTGAAAAATGTTGGGTAGGATACCTTAAGTACTGAATACAATTAAGGCCCTTAGGTAGCGTCCAAAAACATTTACCATTTACAGGTTTTGGCCTCGGTCATATAGCGACTAGCTTTAAACTATGATACTTTCACTTCTAAATAACAAAGCTATCTTAGCCTGAAGACAGGCAACATTAAATCAAATAAAATGGCCTGGACGACACTATATGGTACTATATGGGATGTGCACTGTATATGCAAAAAAACAACAGGGCTGCGCGCTGACTAATCTCAAAAACCTGCTTGAATGCAACTTATTGGCGCTGAAACTCTCGTCTTACCCAACTCGATCCCTCCCAACAGAAACATCAGAACAGTAATCGCCAGCATCATTGAACCAATTGGTGCAGTGTAGTTTGAGTGACGGTCAATATTCCGATTATAACGGAGACTCGGCAAACTGATGAACTGGTACTCCACTTAGCGTCTGCGCAGTTTAAGCCCGCTTCCACTTAGAGGGGTGCAAGCTATGCCGATACTTACCAGAATCAGCAAATGCAATAAATTCTACACTCAGAATATGGCTGCTGTTTAGAAATTCTCAACCATTTTAGTTAGATTTGAACAAAAATATACGTGTGCAGAAATACATGTTTGACTTGTTAATTTGCATGACAGGACAACACCCCTCCTTAAAATGCACCAAACGGCGTGCCTCCTAAATCAATAACTAACAATACGAGTAAAAACGTGAAAAGAAAGTATATTGATTTAACACGTAAATACAAATCAACCCACGTTCAAGTCGTTAAAGGTCTACTGAAAAANTATACAAATAATGGCCATTATGTACATACTGCCTTCATGGATTACAGTTTGGTATAAAAACAATGCTGAAAATACCTTCATGGATATGTACCAAAAAATGTTATGCTGTATAAATTTCCTTTTCTTCAGAACAGGTAAAACTTTATCAGGTGACATCAACCTCTTACAGCCTCTAAGCTCTTGACCTTAGAATAGTACTTAGTTTCAGTTGCGTAGTTTAAGAGTATCTCACCACCACCATGAAAGCATCAACAAGAAATACACTGAGACCAGAAGGCACTGTAAACCCCTCTGTCACACTTATTTGGAATCGGTAGTAACCAAGCAGAATGAGCCGTAATGAAGAATTTTCAAAATTCGAGCCACATTCGTTGGGTAATATCAAATTGACCCTAATTCCTGTAAAAATACCTCAGAATGCGCTTCGAACCCACCTGGAATGATTCGTGCAAATTTGGGTTGTATTGTATTACACACGCTGGAAAATAGAAGTGTCAGCCCTACTGAACCAATACTATGGGGGAGATAAATGACTGTAGAATGATGTGATCCTGGTATCATTTTATTAACATTAAATTTCACAGAAAATCACAAAATGAGAACAAAATATACATTCTACCAAAATATGAAGTTTCAAGTCCAAAATTAGTACTTAGTGGCAAAGCCACGTGACCTAATAATAGGTGTGGTGAGTCTACGAGGCAAGGATTCATATAATTGTCTGTTGCGTTCAGGGCTTATGCTGGCCCAAGCATGAAACACTGAATATAACAGAGTTTCTCTACTGGTTAGACGGGCATTTGTCAAAAGTTTTGACATATCATTCCACACATTTTCTATTATGTTTGCATCCGGACTGTGGGCAGGCCACATCACCCTGCGAATATCCTGTTGGTCAAACCAATCATCAACTGCTCTGGGCCTGTGACAAGAAGCATTGTCATCCAGGTGAACAAATTGATAATTCCTGTCGCCAAACATGTTAGTAATACATGGTAGCAAGCCTGACTCCAAAACATCGATATATTTCTAGTGATTCATGTTTCCATCAACCACAAACAATTCGCCCACGCTATAGATGCTGATGCAGCCCCACACCATGATGAATATGCTGCTCCGGATTCGAAAATTCAGTGCATGTGGTTCAAATGCTTAAACTGCAGTTCGCCAGCATCGTACCCGTCTGTCATCAGAGATCAGACCAAAGCGACACCCATCAGAAAAAAATATGTAGGGCCAATTGTCATGAACTGTCCAGTTGCAGATCCTGTTGGAGATATTGGAGGAAGACAGGAATAACATTTGCTGTACATGTACAAGACCAACGATACAATGCCATGGTATAGCGGTTTTATACTCATTATAATTAGACCAGGCATTATAACTACCCAAGATCTGCCTACTTTTATTACTCTGATTTATGGAGTGACACTTCTATTGTCCAGTATGTGTAGCTCTCAAATGCACTGCGAATGTAGTTGGAACACATTAGGAATATCGTTAATGTTGTCTAAATATAGTGAGAATATTTAGAATGCACTTCGAATGCCATACGAGTGGGGTTTCATTGCAGGCTGAATTCCGGCCTGCAATCAAGATGAATTTGAGTTGCATTCTTGCTCATTGGAGGCACAATGTGGAACATTCTGACAAGATTTGAAGCACTTTGCCATTTCGGTTCTCCCTCGAATGCGATCAAAATGTTTAGAATGCTGTTGAAATACCGCAAGAATCTTAAGAATGCTCATAGTGCAGTTATAATACAGTTGAATGCCATTAGATATTTTTCCACTTGGAATGCACTTCGAAAGTTTTGAGCATGAGCAAAACATTTGAACAGGATGCAAGAAATGACCCAAACATTTAGAATGAGCTTAGAATTTTTAGATACTTCAAATATCCAGAAATAAACAAGATTTTTTTCATTCCGACTACATTCTAGCTCATTCCGCCTCTAGTGTGACTACCTGTTATGAATGAAGACAATAAGGATATACTGTCACCGTTCACCCAAAAACCCTTATTTACTATTTGCGCTCATTAATCATGAAATCATTTGGTTAGACATATAACAAGCCATCTTTGAACTGATATTTAAAGATTTACGTGAGAAATATGTGATTTGAGGGCGCGTTTTGTGGCCATTTTGAAAAAGCACTTGACACCAATATCAGATGTTATTTAAAATGAAAAAACTTATTAGATTTGCATTCAGCAGCCAAAATGGCCTCAGAACCCAATTGTCTGACATCAAATTTTCCAAAAAAGCTTTCATTTTCCCATCCCTACCAATATTCCTTTCTTAAAATTAGAATTATAACTAGCTAAATCATAGTTCTAAACCGCACCAAAGAAGGGCACTGTTCATTCTCCAAATTGCCAAAAATAAATTCAGGGGGGTGGTGGTCGGCTTCGCAAACGAGGCCTGTCGTTCCGGCCCCCCTTCAAATAATCCTGGATCGCCCCTGTACTTATATTTAATCTATTGTAGCAATGTATAAACATTCAAACATACCACCTGGTTCGATCAAACGCCGCTTAATTGCTGATAATGTAATCAGTTTAATTGTCTGACACGCCTCCTTGATGCTAGGGGATAATTCACTTTCTTGTGCGCACGGCTTAATACTTCCTAGCAGCTCGAGGTGTGTCTGGCATTTAAGGCAGTTACAGTGATTGCAAATCTCCTGCAGAGTTGGATCGATCCAGCTAGAACGATAAGCTTAGAACTTACGAGCACCGCCGACTGCACAAGATAGTGTAGCCATCATCAAAACAACACAAAAAAGCATGGGACTAGTTATCTTCATCTTCAGACGATAGTTCTACGGCTGATGAATTAATTTCTGGCAAATTGCAGATCTGCTGATGGTCAGATCGCGTCTGTTGGTCTGATTAAACGCTGGGCAGACTACACCTTTCAAAGAGAATTTTTAGTGAATTATCCAATCATATTCTTTGGCAGAAAACTCCCTATTTGTCCAAAAAACGATGTACACATACGTTTTGGGGCGTCATTGATTTTCATTAGTTACACTGATAGACGCACTTTCCTACTTTCCATAAGGCCAAAACTAGGTATATGTAAAACATTTCATATCATCTAACTGGCGACAGTTGCTTTAACAGACGAAAGTTGCTACTGAATTTGATTGGGCAATCTTGCAACAAGCATAATCTGCATAAACACCATCAGAGAAGTGGGATGGAGCTAGAGTGTCAAGTATCTCATGGTGGTCGAAATATCGAAAGTCGTTTAATAATCCATCAGTATCAATCGGTCAATTAGTAACAAAGTTTTCGGTTTCATTATATTGTCCAACAAAATCAAATTGCCTCCCAGGGTCCCTGTCGTGAATATTCCCTTCGGAACTGCTCTCTCTATACAGAAAGTAACATTATTCGTATGCAGGTAATGATGTAGAAACTCCTGTTGATCTTTCCACTTTTGCTACACTCTGTCATATTATAATTCAGAATTTGAAGTAAACGTCATGGCATTTAGTGAAGGGAATGATGAGATACAGTGTTGGGATATGCCGAATATTTCTGATATCCTTTCAAGCCACGGCGATCACCAAATTATGAGAACTGTCCCAAGTCGGCAGTGCTCAGCTTTGAGCAACTCACATGAAACCATAATCTCTCTGTCATGCAGATGAAAAATTCCTCAAACCTTACCCAGCAAGAGTGATGTGAGACCGGTGCTACTTTTCAGCGATTGTCACTGATAGCAAGACCTTTGAGAGTTATGTTAACAGTTAGCATTCTAGTGTCAAGATCACCTGTTCACCTCTTTGCATATACTGGGTTGGAAAAATCGTCAGCATTTCTGAAGCATATCTCACAGAAATATCACCCTGCGGATGAGATTGGCACTGCAACGCTATTCTTCTCCCCCCCCCTCCCCCCCCTCCCAGAACAAGGGAAACTGAGGTGGCTGAGACTAATACGCAGATCAGATAATTGATAGCTTGGATAGCTCAAAGGCAAGTGTTCCAGACTCTGTGACGATTACAATGCTCAAAATCAGCAGAGATATTATTGCGAAACCATTTCGTGTTCTATATTGGAATACATGTTACAGAGCAGTACCTTTCCGGATATATGGAAAACGGCTTACATCTCCCCGATCTATAAAATAGGTAATAAAAGCTGCATCGAAAATTATAAGCATGTTTCACTACTAAGTGAGATATCAATGACTTTAGAAAAAATAATATATAAAAAAAATATACTGTTTAATAGACAATCTGGATTTCTCAAAGGTTTTAGCATCAGCTACTGACAATTCAAATTTTGATAAGAAGTAGCCTTAGAAAAAAGGATGGGACATTAGAGGAATGTTTCTCGATTTATTTTTTCGGAAGCCTTCCACAGAGTCAAGCATAAACTGTTATGTTGTTGTCAGCATATGGGTTGAAGGTAATTATTTTCACTTTACCGTCATACCTGCAGAACAGAAAGGTGAGGGTATCTGTTAATGGCACATTAACCGAATCAACTGAAGAAGCGTCCCTTAAGGTAGCATCCTCGGTCCGCTGCTCTTTCCTCTTTATATT